CGCTTCTGGACTTTGTGCTTGAGATGAGAAAAAAATGAAACTTTGATTTTGAGTTTTACCAATTGGATAGATTTGTTGTTATAGAAATGGCTAGCTTATACTACTATGTAAAAGTAAAAAGTTGAGGTTTGATGTTAGTATCTTATTTTACTGCCTCAAAGGGAGTCAGAAGTCAATGCCTTTTCTTTCTTTCTTTCTTTCTTTCTTTCTTTCTTTCTTTCTTTCTTTCTTTCTTTCTTTTTCTTTCCTTTTCTACACTTTTCCCTTCCCTATTTTTCCTATTATTTGCTCTTGTACTTTTGTCTTTTATATTGTAAACTAATTAAAAAATACAAATGCTGGGAAGCTAGATCATATCAACAGAGGGACCCTGATCTTTGAAGACCACTGCCACCAATCTCTCTTTTTCTTATAGGCTACAACTTTGCCCTGAAATACCCTTGAGTTGTTATGGGGACATTAACCTAAATAGGTATTTCTTCCATTAGCTCAACCATCCCACATAATCATTGGAGTAGCCCATAAAAGACAGATATAGGTGAACCATCGTAAGCTGAAACAAGGCTATTCCTGTTGCTCTGAAAAAAAAATACTAAGTGTATACTGGATTCTGATTTAGTTTTTAAATTAGAAACAAAACAGAGAAGTGGCAGTTAATTGTTACTGAAGATAAAATATATATATGGAAGTCTACTTTGCCAATGAATTGTGGTGAAGGAAGGAGACAGATGGGAGAGGCCCTTAAGCATCTCAAAATGACAACCACATTGAAAACTAAAAGATGCTGAACTGTCTTCCAACACACTTCCCCTGACATTTCCACACAATGAAATGTAAGGGTCAACGGTATTGAAACAAACAAGCAGTTTCACTCATTTGCACCTATGAAAAGAAGCGACCCTAGCCATTGTTGTCATTTTAGGCACTTTTTGTTCTTAATATCCAAACACAGCAGCCTTTTTTATTTTATTTTGAAAAAAATTACTGCAGCCACCTCACTTGCATTTTCCTTTTCTTTGGCATTTTCACTTCATAAAAGCTGCAGTCAATGTGTTTTTGTGTGTGGTGAGAAGGGATGACATTTCCAGTGGTGGTCTTGTCCACAGTCTACATTGGTGGCTCAAGTAGTCTCAGGATTAGGTCTTTGTGTGCAATGAAAGGATATGAAAAGTCAGTTATTTAAACTCAGTCAAGCTGTTGATTTTGGGGAGGGAAAAAGGGGCTTTTCAATTCACCAGCTTCAATAAATCACTGGCCTTTTCTTTCTCATCCAAGGGCAGCTGCAGATAGCATACAATGTTCCCCCAGAAACAAAACAAAATCTTAAGATTTTTTTTTTAATGCAACATTTAGAAGGGGCAGGAACATAAATTAAAGTTAACAGATGTATATTTCCAAACATTCTACAAAACGCTCCAGTCGGTCTGCTGCATTAAAGAGAATCTGAAAATGCTTTGCAAGACAATGTTAACACTTTTAGAAAGAAACATACCCATAAAGTGTTTAAGACAGGAAGTGAAAAAGAAAGAGAAAGGAAAATGTGTATATATTTAAAAAAAGGAAATGGGGAAAAAAAAGATTTTGATTAGCACATTTGGCATAATTTATCAGTGAATAATTTTTTTAAATGGCAGTATAGAGTCCAAAGGATTGCTGTACTCTTAAATTTCTATGACTCCAGTTCTTTAAAAATATTTAAGCTTGCAGTCCTGAACAAGATTAAATGCTGTAGGATTTATCTCTGGCTAAGGATATATAGAACTGCATTGTGCATGTAGCGATTTTAATAGTATTTTGTACAGAATTAACAAAATAACTAAAAAGTAGAGCCATCAACTACAAGGAAACTTACTCTTTAGTAATCATTTTCAGTATATTATATATTATCCTGTAAGTAAATCCCACTGAAAACAAATTAGCACCCTTTCAAAGGTATTGCTAGAAGGTCACAGCAATGCTCTATTTCCTGCATAGTTGGATGATTGGGGAAAATTTTCCTCTAGTCTACATATAGATATATTTTTGCAAAACTAAAATATTCAACTGCGAGAAAAGCAGGGGGGGGGAACCTGAAATGCTTCTGAATGACCCCACCACAACTTGGAAAATGAACCACTTCTTCAATGCAAATCGTCTCAAGAAAAGCTTCTGCACACAACGTGTGAGGAACTGGTTACAGCATTGTTTATCGAGTTTCACTTGATTCCTCCTGACAACCATTTGAACAATGACTATTGGGAAATGTCTCTCAAATTGTCAACAACAATAGCAAAGGCTCAGCGCTTTTATTCTCAGTTAATACTGATTTTTTCCCCTTTTTTAAAAAAAAGAAAGAGAAAATATTTCTTCCTGAAGGGATTAGAGGTTCCCTTATAAAAGACACCTGCAAACAAAACAAATGACAAAAGATCTTTATCATATTCAATAATAGGGATCCATTGTACAAAGCTGGGCTTCTCCAGACACAAATAAACCAGAAGCCCTTCACAATTCAACTAAAATGCTTCAACTAAATCAATGCTGCCCACAATTAAGAGAGGGAATTTTTTAAAGAAGGGAATATATAAACTGAAAGCTGGTAACATCCCATTTACTTTCTCATGCATCTGAAATCATTTCAGAAGCACTATAGTTACAAAGGAGAATTATTATGTTTTTCACTGACAAAAAAAATCAGGGAGGAAACTGTGAAGAAATTCATCCTTGTCATATCTATTCAGAGCCCTTTTTAAGTGAGTAGGCTAGGCATGTAACTGTTACTGATCAGTCTATGCTTCTTAAAAAACTACCTGAAAGTGACTCCTCACTAGCATTAAATCTGGAGGGTTTTTAGTTACTTTACCTGAGGCAAATAAAATATAAGGATTTTGTGCTAGAAAAAGAAACATGGAATTCATTTTTGATCTCTTAATCTAGGAAAGTCACTTGGTCCTTAGGTTGATAGAGTAAACTGACTAAAATTAATAGGATTAAAATTAGTCTGGCACTAATTGTTCAAGCATGCACTGGATCATTAAATCAAGTACACATCAGGAAAAGTCAATTCATCGGAAGACAAAACTAATCCTTACATTGTATCTTAGAGTATAAAATGCAGAACTACTAACGGTAGGAACTCTTGGCATAAATGATTCAGGGGCAACAATGCATAATGTTTTTTTTTAGGATTGTTGCGTCATTTTCCTAGATTGTAAATTTTGGAGGAGATACCAATATGAAATAAAATAAATTATGCCGAACATGCGTTCAGGTGGTAAAAGAGATCATGTTGCCCTACCGACTAAGGCCTTTTTACCACATAATATACTGTGCTATCATGTCTGAAGAAGCCCCATATCTGAAATGAAATAAAATGGCCACGATCCCATTCGAAGTTCGCTGCAAAGGGATGATTTTCTTGTATGTTTCATATGAGTTTTAGAGTTCAACATAGTGTGTTACGACCACTCAAAAAGAAAAAGAGCTTAAAAGGCAGATTTCTACAAAGGAATTCTTTTCTAAAATCTGTTGGACTGGAGCTTTAAAAAGCAAAGCTAAAACTTTCAGAAAATGTTGAGCTTTTCCCTCTCTTTGTTACTGTGGACACAATAAATAAATAAAGTTTATTGTCATTGTACGTGTATACACAGTATATCCATACAACAAAATTTACATAACACCCAAAGACCAGACCCAACTCACATGACAATCCTCAGACACACCCCCACCCACCAAAAATTCCCCACCCCTAAAACCACCGAAGCATCCATACAACAGACCAAGGAATGCTGTCCAACAGCTCACTGATGGTGGCCCTTTAGTTCATTGTTGAGTGCAATTATATAAACAAGACTAATTTTCTTTAAAAACAAGGAAAAGAACAGAAGTCAAGTCTCAATAAATTGCTGATAATGGCCATGAATATATAACTATTCAATGCACAGACAATTTAATCTCTCTTCTGAATCTATTGCTAGATTCAGAAGAGGTAAGTAAGTACTGGCTAACATTGGAAATAAATGTGGTAATCGAATAAGTGTTAACTTTGTCAATGCAACTACGCTCACTATCAATATGGCCCACCCTTCAGATAAATATAAACATATAGGTAAAACATAGTCTGGGAACATGGTAATATCTTGATGTCACTAGTAAACTCTCTATTGAGTTAACTTAATTCCTGATAAGAATATGTCCATGTTTGTGTTATCTTGGCAGCAATATGAAAATGGTTTGCCATTGCAATCTTCAGGATTGATTTCCCATCCAAGAGTAATTAAGTTCAATCCTGCTTAGCCTTTTGAGCTCAAGCACTAGGCTGCTATCACCAGCTGAGGGCTTAAGAACTGTGAAGGGGTTCCAAACAAGACCATATAATAACTGGGAATATCACTTCCTGTGTTGTGCTTCCTGCAAGGTTTCCAGAAAAGACATTTGAGACTGTCCTGAAACCCAAATATTTTGCCACAATTTAATCCATTACGACTTCCTTGATACAAACATCGTTCATACTTAGAACTTTTTGTATTTATAATACTTCTTTCTTTTGTTTCCATTGAAGCTATTATTTTCAGAAGTATTATTACTAATCTCTTCTTTGTAAATGACCACACCTATTTCAATCCAAGCAGCTATAGTAAACATTGGCTTCTTTGAGGAAGTACATGCATAATTAGGTTAATCGGTGCTATCTTTTCATGTGAGCTGATTGTTCCTTTACTGTGGATATGTTTCATAACACTGCAGAAAGCTTGCCAAATGTCTCAAAGGCAAACCAGGTACAACTTACCAAGCATTAAACTACTACATACTGAAACCCTGACATAATGGTAAACTGTTAAGAGCCACTCCTACCAGCCACTTATTACTCATTTCTTCTTCCCAGTCACTACCACTTGTTCTACAGTTTTGGACTACACCCTTCTCAAACAAGTACTTTCACTAAACTCATTACATACACACATACGTGTCATCAAGACCTAGGATACCGCAAACCCAAATCTGCAAAAGTCCTAGATTACCTGTACAAAGTCCAAGAATGTTAGTGGCAACAAGTCATCCAAATGGCCAATATCTTTGGAGAAACGATTTAGGATTCTTCCTATAAGAAAAGAACAAAACTGAGGGTTATTAGACCAAAAAAAAATTGGGGGGAAAGTTTGTTTTTCATCATTTTTAAAAATGGAGAAAAGAAATGTGAACCTCAACCTGAACCTCATCTTGGAAATACATGCATCTCACTGTATTTGTTCCTCTGAGAAAGATGTCTTCAAGACTAAAGATTTATAAAAGTTCAACTCAACCTGACAATCAAGTCAAATAATAATTGTTATATTAGCCGCTTCCAACTGTTCCAAAATAAGTAGGATATACATGCAATAAATACATTTCCAGCTCAAACTAATTTATATCTGTGCAGAATAATACATTTTGTTCAATGGTCTAAATTATTCTTTAACATTGCAATAATTAATTTTTATAGTAACAAAAATTTTAGGATGATTGTGAAGTAAGAAAACAAACGATATACCTACTTTCTCTTTTGGTAGTGATAGACCTTTTAGTAAGTCTGAAGATATTTATATTTGAACATTGTATTGGCATACAGATATCTGTAGTTCTCTAAGAACTACAGATATTTTTGAAATCATTTTTAATAGTTTGATTAATGAAAATAAGTTCCAGGAATGAATATATATCTAACCATGCAAGTCTAGCTAAACTAGACTAATGGACTTGGGCTAACTTACCATCAGTGAATGAAACACAGATTTCTTCTGTGAATGAATAACATTTCTGATGAAATTAGAAGCCCTTATTCATTAAAGCCACAATCTTATTTTTAATTGCTTAGAAATGTTCCTTTAAAAATGTTATGACAAAGTGAAACTTTGAAGAAGCCTATTAACATTTTGCAATTAACATTTTGCAAAGCTGTGGAAGTCTCTCAAAACACTGACTGGTTAATACCAAGCTTCATCTCCATGGGTGGTGAGCTCCCCCTCATATGATGTGATCAAGCAGAAGTTAGTCAACCATCTGGTCTGGGATGTTTTAATCTGGATTCCTGCACGAGCAGGAATTCCCAGTTCAACTCCTGAGCACAGGGTTGAACTCAATGATCTAGACCTGTGATGGCGAACCTATGGCACTCGTGCCCGAAGTGGCACACAGAACCATGTCACCTGGCATGCGCGGTGTCACCCATTCCTCTTCCAGGTTTCTGGCGTGCAATGATCAGCTGGCCTTCGTGTGTGCGACAGTGCTGGAAACTGGAAGAGCTGGTCTTCCATTTTCCTGCGAGATCATGCGCGCCAGCCAGCTGATCATTGCACACGCGTGAATGCCAGAAACCCTGCAGACTAGCGCGCCAGAAACTGGAAGTTCATTTTTGGGCACACGTATGCGCCCTGAGCAGCTCCTGTTCTGGGTTGTGGCACGCATGCTCCCTTTTCAGCACTCGGTGCTGAAAAGGTTCACCAACACTGATCTAGATGGCGCTTTCTAATCAAATCTATACCAGGGAAATGCTCAGAGAAATATTGTATCAAAATTATTATGACTTAATAAGAGGACACCAAAGGAGCAGTTACCTGTGTCTGTGCTGACAGTTTCCCCCATCAGTGACATGGCTGTATACATTTGAAATGATTTTTGCAAGTTGGCCATTCTTGGAGAGATTTGTGTTGTCAGAAAACGCCACCATTTCAAGCTCTAGGAAAATCTTCGTGGTTTCTTGTTGTTTTTTTGTCACTGGCGAATGATATAACTCTCTCTGATGGAGCTAACCAACCTCTGTGAGATTTATACAAGGACAGGACTGGTCCAAAACAGCCTGATTGTTTGACTAAGTATTCACCCAACTGATCTTTGTTATCACTCTGAATTGAATGAAAGGAAGTCATCATGCTGACACGTCGCATATTAGATGACTTGGTTTATGAAATAAGTGAAATTCACTCAGACTCCCTTTACGTATCAGTAGAACATTCAAAGAATCTGAAAGATGACACAATATCGTTGGACTGACTAAATAATAATTATGAATGGACACAATATTGTGGAAAGGTTGGAAGAAGAGGTTGTGTTCAGGACATTTTTCAGAGAAAGTACCTACAGTCTAGTCTTGCAATGTCAGGTAACTGATTGCAATGGAATATGCACATTTGCCACAAAGACATCACAAAAAGATACAAAAGACGCTAAAAAAAATCTTAGTACATTCTTTCAGATTTAGAACAGTTATTCTGATTCATTCTAAGTCTGATGAATTATTTAAATTGCAAATCTTAAATGGAGAATAGGAATTTCATGTCTTGAATTTCTTGACAAGGAATTCAAATTCAAATGTGAATTCAAATATCAATCAGCTGAAAACAATTCAGACACCCAACAAAGGCTTACTGAAACAACTAACTTAATCTCTCTTTAAGTTGCATGATGAAGAGCGCACTCTAAAAGGCAATGCTAGGACAAAGAAAAAAGCAGTGCCATTTAAATTTCATTTAATTAGATTTAGATTTAAATTTAATCAAATTAAGGATATATAACTAAGTGAATGCATTATTTGTATCTTACATTTCCAGCTTTCCTTTTCTGATACAGTTAATATAATTAGAATCCATGTATAATTCTTCTATTTTCATTTTCTTCTGTTTCATTAAAAATGACAATTTCTTGTCTTTTGCAAAGGTTCTAGGCCCACACAGATGATAAACCGGTCAGATAGTGGGAAGATTTTTCCCTCTTACTCAAATGTTGTGCCCTCTAGATGTAAGGATTACAACAACAGGAATTCCTAGTCATCATATTTGGAAATTCCAGTTCTGTAATTTCTGTTTATGTGGTAGATATATGCCAACATTTCTACTATTTAGAAGATTACCACCTAATAGCTAATAGTATGGTATGGCAAGTTATAAGCTGATTAGTTTTCATATTAGCCTGAGGTTCTTACTTCTCATGATTTTTTTAAAAAAGCGCCCTTTTTCAAATATATGAATTTGTTAACGTCTACTAATGTTTACTGGCATGCATAAGACTTAATCTGAGTCACTTAGGCATAAGCTCTACAACAGATAATAGTAATGATGATAGTCATCATCATCATCTTGAATTAATCCACTCCAACAAAAGGCCTCTTTTTTGAGAGTTATGGGCTGTCATGTACACCTAGTGCACATTGGTAGATAGACTTCCCAGTCTAGCAATGAGAGTGTATCATCATCATCAACAACAACTTTTAATGACCCCATAATCCCTTGCAGGGTAGAGTCTAGGCAACTGAAATAGAGCTGAGTGATTACTGGCTGGATGCCCTTCCTATCGCCAATGTGGAGTTATATTCAGCAGATATATTCTCATCGTGCCCAGAGAGAGAAATATTAGTCTCTACCTAGGATCAAACTCACAACCTCCTGATTGTGAGGCTGATCGAGAGCTCCACCTCTAGGCCACCAGACCACCTAGTGTACGATTGGGCCCAAATTCACCCACCCAGCTTCCATGCTAAGAGAGGACTATAATCTGAATCTCACTCAGGGGTGGGCTGCTGGGAGTTTGCAGGGGTTCGGGAGAACCTCTAGCTACGATTCTGTGCAGTTCAGAGAACCCCCAAATCCCACTCCTGGATGGCCCCTCCCACCCCGCCCCTCCTCTCCCAGGAGTCTCCACACGGGCTGTTTTGGATGCAGGTAAGTGCAGGGCATGCGCAGAGGCCTGTTTCCAGTCTCCAGAGGGCCTCCAGTGCCTGGGGAGACCATTTTTGTCCTCTCGGGGGCTTGAGGAAAATCTCCAGAGCCCAGGGAGAGCAAAAATGCTCCGCACCACCACCGTGATGCAGGAGGCCAACTAGGCCATGCCCACCATGGCCACGCCCACCCAGCAACCAAGCAGAGAACCCCTAGCTAAAATTTTTGAGGCACATCCCTGATCTCACTGCTTCTACTCCAGCACAATAACTACTATGAGACAGAAACACATATACACATATACATAGAAACACAAAACAAATATAAGGACTAAAAAAAAAAAAAAAAGCAAAATAATAAACATTTATAACTTTAGAAATCTTTGTGATTGTTTCTGTTTTCTTCCTCTCTGTTATTCATGCAGGTCAGTAATATATAACTGACCGTAATACAATACACATATATATTAAATGCATATATATTTCATATTGCTTCTTGAGATGTATGGAAAAACTGTACGTGAACCACAAGCTGGCCTGTGGAATATGGGATAAATGTCCATAATGCAAAAGGTGTCAGGCTTTGTTTCCAATTTTTTCACAAGGTCGTATTTCATTCTCCTTTCGAAGAGGATGGGATTTTTTTCTCCTTTACAAATTTATTAGCTCCTCCATAAACTTTTCAAAGCTTGCAATAGGTACAGGTTATGAGATAAACACTGTAAAACCTCTGTCTCTAATTCAAACTAGTATGGTGTAAAGTAACATTTAAAGTTATGAGAACTGCTAATGAGTGCCAGAATAATATAATTTGGCTTCAGAGCCAAGTGAGTATCAAGCCTAGCCAATAGCTGTACTAATCATTCCAAAAGGAAGATTATTTATATGCAATATTCCCATTTTAAAATGACTACTTAGTTCTCATGGGTAATCAAGTTGCTAATCAACTCCAACAAACTGTAGCTTTGATGTCGGGCTTGCAATGTTTTGTTAAGCAATGCAGTATTTTAAAAAGAATGTTTGCCAGAAATTCTAGTAGGGAAAAATAGTTTTGCTTTAAAAATCAAGGGAATGGGAGTTATTCAGCCTAGAAAAATGATCCGTTAAAAAGAAAAAAAAAGCGAACAGCCCTTTTAATCTGACTAATTCACGTGTTAATTTTTGGAACGATGAGTAGAGGCATATGATTTGGAAAGGACTGGTACATGAGCACAATTATAAATACGAATGTAGCAGGGATTCAGTGATACGTCATTCGGAAAGTTTCGCTCTAGAGCAAGATAACAATTTTGAAACTGTTTTGCTTAACAAAACAGGCCTATCTTTTGTAAACTTGCAGCATGTAATGAAAATTATACCAAGTTCTAAAGAAGACCATTTCTGGAATTGCACTCCTTAGAAGAGAGGGATGT